CATTTTTGCTGTAGATTATATCATGCTGCACGCACAATGGCCAGGTGTGCATGATCACCACCGTTCCTCCAAGAGTGAGTGTTATTGATCTTTTCAAACAAAGCAACCGAACAGACACATCATGTGAGGATTACCCAGAGATACATATACGATCGTGGCTTCCGAAAAAGTCGTGAATGTTGCACTCATTATTTTCATGAGTAGCAGTCTGTGCTTAAATTGCAAATTGTGTTTTTACACACAGTAAAGCGTAAATCAACTACTCAGTTTTCGCAATGAACCTGCATGTTGGATAACGACATTTGTGGGGAACAGGAAAAATGAATAGGCTAAACGGATGTATACTTTTAGATAAGAAACTGCATCGTTTATGGGAGACGAAAGGTCGGTGTTCTAAAGGGAGTCGTGTAAAGGGTTAATGTGATCGAATGATGTTGCTAAGGCTACATCTGAGGTGAAATTATGACGTTGTATGAATTTGACACCATTTCAATATATGTTAGGTATGCAACTACATTTGAATGGATGCATCAGTCAAGTAAGACGGAGAGAGACCATTACACTATGTTCCAAGTGAGGATTTACAACGAACGTGAATGTCAGATTAAGACTACGACCTGGGAATTGAGATGTTCATAATGGGACTAACGTGAAGAAGTTATAACAAACGAGTACACACATTAAAGCTAGGTAAATGAATCATATTTCTATAATGATGCGATTGAAATAACTGCTATAGACTAAAAGACAGGAATTTGTTGTCATTAGCTTCCTGAACGCAAAACAAACTAAAGCTTCAAAAGTGACTCGGGATTTATCGTTTTACGGGACACTGGTTGTTTTGGCTCTCGAAATCGCCGTATCACCGTAAGTCCCGTCGAAGCGGAAGCAACAAGATGTAGCTTATATGTATGCAAAAATATGAGGCCAATGAGTTCGGGTCATGTTTAAGAAACCTATGCATTGACAGCTGAAACTGTCCGCTGGTGGACTGGATTTTAGTCACACATGGAAACATACTTTTACTGAGTCTTTTCAAACAATAAATGCAACTTGAAAGGAATATTGGCGATGCAAGTGTAACACTGTGATAATGAGTTCGCCATAGACATAAGTAAAACGTAGTTAACAAGGACACTGTAGATGTTCATTCTCTAACACGACAGCATGTGAAGTAGTTTGTCTTGCCATCTTCATTAGATAGGTTGACTAATACATATGAAACTAGCTTTCAGAAGACGATAGTTAGCACTTATCATATTACAGCAACAGAGGTTAAGACGAAAGACTTTGGCAGATAGAAATCGCACAAGTGACCTAACGGATGTTGAACTACTTTCAATTTTCTCAGTCAACACGAATTATTTATCTGAATGATTGGCCAAAATTTACTGTTGAAAATGTTGACCATATTCCCGTAACATCCGGCAATTCGGCAGAAAAGCAGTCACCATTTCAGTTACGTGCCACACGACTCGTTTATCTCAAATGGATGTTATTTCCGTCATTTTGAGGTAATATGTTAGTCCATGGAATGATAACTGCAAAGGTCTTCAAAAATACAATCATTGGAGATGACGAAAGAAGATAAGCAGTTACAAAATATTTGCTCACAAAATGCTCCCACGTGCAGTTTCTGACGGCTAGCATAATCTGAGCATTAACCCAGAACAAATAGTGGGACAAGCACACGCTAATTCCAGAGCAACCTGGTGGACCGTACATCAGTAAAGAGTCGCGACTCATTACAATCCAAGAACACGAACAGTACGGATTGAATATAGAGTGAACATTGGGCCTGATAACTGCATTTACCACTGATAATTTGTACGTCTCTGAATCCAGTTTGATAGTATATATTATTCACTAATATGTTCTGGTTAGACGGCCGTTTGTGTGCAAACGTTTACTCGTGCTTATTCACGCAAGAATCTCCCAAGATAGTAGAGCAGACTGTTGAGAAATGTGGTGTCAGTTTGTAGGACTAGAAGCTGTTAAGCATCGCGCACTGTGTATCCTCAACGATATCCAGATTTGGCGTTCGATATGAGCCAGGCTCAAAACAGCCGTTGACAATATGACCGGTTGTTGTATCGTGAACTGAACAACGAGAAGTTCTCAGTCCACTGTCAGGTCACATGTGTTTGTCTTTCATTCTATACAACAGACTGCCCACTAGATCTGATACGACTATGAATCAATCTGGAATAGAGAGACAGGGACAAGCCAATAAATCGTGTTTGATGGGCGTGCATTCTCACTAATATGAAATCCTCCACCCCCTATCGTAGCTTCGTAGCTCAGCTGATGGAGCGCTTCTCGCATTTGGACATAGTGATTGCGTCGCTGGTTCGAATCCAGCCGAAGCCGTGACTTCTCACAATAATTTTGATCTAAAATTACGCTGTGATATGCTATAGCCTCATAGGAACAATAATCGATTTTGCCTGTCTTACTGTTCTGGGAAGTTACATAATTGACAGTATCATAGCAGTGTTTGTACAGTCTAACGGTCATTTTATAATTCTTATAACGCCAATGCCGTGGATTGTAAACCTGTGAACGTGTCCACAGGCTGTGAGTAGGGTGATCTTCAACGTCACCCTGATCTCCATTCATGTGAGAATTCTGCATCTGGTGAAGCGCACACGTTCTAAGTGGGGCGCGTCTTATTTTACAGGGAAACACACTGAAACGGACAGACATCTGGCTGCACAATATCGGGAGATTAGAAAGGATGTTTGCTATGAGTAACTCTGTCCCGCTAGTTTTATGTGGAATGAATTCGATATGTTGACGCATCCCACTCGCACGTGTCGTCAGTTCCAAGAACAAGTAGAAATCGGCAACTTGTAGTTCAGGTTCGTTGGCTTGCAAGCATGGGCTGCAGGAAGCAGGTCACCGCAACCCATCGTCAGTACAACATGTTAGAAGATTGTGAAAAGTAATCTTAATTCACCTTATCCAATCGTGCAACTTGTAAATTATTAGCCATGTAGGCCTGTTTGAATGTTCGTCGAATCAGCAAACAATTTGAACATGACC